AAAGAAAGAAAGAAAGAAAGAAAGAAAGAAAGAAAGAAAGAAAGAAAGAAAGAAAGAAAGAAATGGTAAGGGGACTTGTTTTATGGTTGCAGCCTGGAAAAACAGATTTCATTGTCAGTAGGATTAAGGGATAGAAACAGGCAAAACATCCTCTATTTGATATTATTCCCTTTCTCTGATAATCCAAACAGAGAGTAATCATGAAACATCTTTGCCAATCACCTTTACAAAGGTAAATTCTAGTATTTTCTGGTAAATCTGATAAAAATATCTCTTCAAGGTTCCATCATTTAGAATGAGATTAGTAAATTAATTGTGGATACCCGTTATCAATATTTTGTTACTTGTTATTCCATTTTTGAAGGAAGACCAGGTGACTATCTAATTTTTTAAATTCCAAAAATAGTACTCACTTAGTGGGGGAAAATAATCAAACAACACAGAAGAAAATGAAGTAAACTCTGAACGTTTCCACCCTTATTTGCATTTCACAGTATTCAAAGTGGCTCCACAACTTTGCACGAGGTGAGGTAGCACTCAAAATGGGTAAGAACAGGCTCTAGAGCTAGATTATTGCTGGGATTTTCTGCGATGATGAAAATGTTCTATATTTGTGCTGCCCAAATAACATACACAATGGTTAACTCTAACAAAGAAATAAGTGTTCAACATACAGAGAAAAGGACCCAGACAGACCAAAATTATCCTCTTAAGCACAGCAGTAAAAGGCTTTCCTTGTTAGTTAGTGAGGAAAACCAGCAATTGGTATCAGAACCCATTATATGCAAAGTTGTAGAATACTGTATACAGGTATGCAGAATACATTATAATTATTTTTTATTCTGCAAGGTGAGTTCAGTCATCCCCCAGAGTTTTTTGTCATCTTCATCTTAATGAACCTGTTCATAGTGTAGTTTGCTTTGGTTAACAGAATTAGTAGATGCTATCTAACTATTAGTGTCAAGGTTCCCTAGATGGGCAAGATGCTGAAAAGCAATCTTTTCAGCATTCTGACTTAATAAAGCTTATTTCTCTCTAGGTGTGCTTTATGTTATAAATGATCCTTACTTTACATTTATAATTCAACACATTTGCCTCCACTGACCTGTGAAAAATATCTAAAATTAGATACATTTGAAATGTCAAAGCTTCATTTGACTCTGATTTGACCCACAAAATACTTTCTCCTAAGTCAAAGTAAGTATATAAGTATTATTTTACTTCACTTCTCCAGGGCTTTGGATTAGGTCTGGTCTCATGTCAGTTCCATTCCCTGACACCTACTACCTTCCCTTTCCCTGAGTAATCCAACTTTTAAGTTTCTATCAACAGGAAAATCCCAGAGATCCCAGTCAGCTCCTGCAAGGGAATACTTACTTCCAACAAGGAATTAAATAACTAACTAGCTTAGATAGATAGATAGATAGATAGATAGATAGATAGATAGAAAGAAAGAAGACAGACAGATAGGAGCCAAGCACTTTAAGAGATAGGCTCTTAATTCTAACTCTTCATGTTTTTACTTTTAGTACAAGTCTGAGTGTGTGAAGCCTAAGAAATCTTTTCTTTGTCCCAGGAATTTGTAGTTATTTTCAACATGGATATCTTCAGTTCCTTACAGGAAGAGTTTTCCCCTGCTACAAGGTCTGAGGTGAGAAAAGACCCAATGCCAGAGGGCGATAAGAACTGTTCGTCTGTGTCATTTTTATATACCAATTATGACTCATTATAATGTCAAACTACCAAAAAGATAGGTGGAACAGAGATAAAAGGAATAACTGCTTATGGAGTACAAAGGGAAAACAAAACTACTATGGAAGATATAGCTCCTCTTGGGGGGAGAGAAGGGGAAATAAATAACAAACAGTTCTATACTCTGTGATATATTATAAAATCATGATATTACTAATTCACTATTTTGTGCCTTATATAATGACAACCCTTGACATTTAACTTTCATGTTGCCAAACAGAGAAGGAGGTGTATGCAACTATAATTTGCACCTTAAAGATGGATCTATTACACAAAAAATATATAACAGTAACCAATTTGGGAGAGCTACTGTAATATATTTAACATTGCACACAAAAGAAGAAGTGGGTCATTTACATTAAGTATTCTTGAAGATTCAGTGGCCTGCATTCATTCTTTACGATAACATCACCATGTGGGTACCAAAACTACAATACACAAAAATCCACTCATCAATAAATTTCTCTTGTACACAGGATAAACAATTTAATAAATTAAAATTGGAAAAAGCCATGTTCTTCGATGAATCACTTTCATGAATACTACTCAGGCCTGATTTTTAATCAACCTCTCTACTTCCCAGTGCCCTTATCTGTACTCTGGGGACAATGATATTGTTCCATTTATTTCATAAAATTGTTATGATAAGAGAAATGATATGTAAGGTGATCAGTACAATGCCCAGTAAATTATAAATACTCAATTAGGAGGCTACTACAAAAAGCAATAATACTTGTTAATACTATCTTTACACCCAGGTTACTTATTTTCAATTTGATTTTTGTTTTGGTTTGTTATTTTGAGATATTTTTTATCATTATCTAAACTGTTACATGTAAACTGCCACAACATGGACACAAGCTACTCTTCACTCCAACTTTGACTGTTCACTTTTCCCATTTGGACCAGGCTCAGGCCAGGTCCAAGACCACCAGCTTGGACTAAAGCTGTGCCTGGTAAACCTGGCTGTGGCCAGGCTCCATTTTACAGGACTCAACTTTTATACTTGTGAATTCACTGTTATTCCATGGAAGGACTTTTGGTGTAGTGTTCTCCTTTTGGCCCTGAGGCACTTAGTTTGACATAACACATTCCCAACTCATTCTCACCTCATAGAAGCGGCTCAAATAGAGGGAAATCTTTCTGCTTCTAACCAGGGGCCCTAAAATTACCATCCTATGGTCATTCCTTTGAGTTAAGACACAGGAAGATTGCTACTCAAATCTGTTATTTGAAGAAACTTTGTCGAAGCATATTTATCAGATCAGATTAAGATATCCAGGAGGAAAACAAAGGAACAGTGATTCTCAATGGACACAGTTACTGTCCCTAAGGCATTTTGGAAATTTGTGATGATGTGATGGAAGAGGCATATGGCATTTATATAGGTACAGGTCAAAGATTCTAGAGTTCCTGCACTGCTCTAGAAAGAATTATCCTATGTTCCCCATGACTTTTGAATGCCCTACCAAACATACATGAAGATGAAAATCTTTTTTATAATTACTTGAGTTTGGAATCTAATTATATGTAACACAAAGTATTTTTTGACATGGCTGAACTCATGTTGAATTTTCCATGATGTGAAGATAAAAAGCCTCTGCACTGCAAAGGAAACAATCAACAAAACTAAAAGGCAACCGACAGAATGGGAAAAGATATTTGCAAATGACCATCGGACAAAGGGCTAGTATCCACAATCTATAAAGAACTCCCCAAACTCCACACCCAAAAGACAAATAATCCAGTGAATAAATGGGCAGAAGACACGAATAGACACTTTTCTAAAGAAGACATCCAGATGGCCAGCAGGCACAGGAAAAAATGCTCAAGGTCACTCCTCATCAGGGAAATACAAATCAAAACCACACTGAGATATCACTCACGCCAGTCAGAGTGGCTAAAATGAACAAATCAGGAGACTATAGATGCTGGAGAGGATGTGGAGAAACGGGAACCCTCTTGCACACTGTTGGTTGGAATGCAAACTGGTGCAGTCGCTCTGGAAAACAGTGTGGAGGCTCCTCAAAAACTTAAAAATAGATCTACCCTATGACCCAGCAATGGCACTGCTAGGAATTTACCCAAGGGATACAGGAGTGCTGACGCATAGGTGCACTTGTACCACAATGTTTATAGCAGCACTTTCAAGAATAGCCAAATTATGGCAAGAGCCTAAATGTCCATCAATTGACGAATGGATAAAGAAATTGTGGTTTATATATACAATGGAATACTGCTTGGCAATGAGAAAGCATGAAATATGGCCTTTTGTAGCAACGTGGATGAAACTGGAGAGTGTTATGCTAAGTGAAATAAGTCATACAGAGAAGACAGATACCATATGTTTTCACTCTTATGTGGATCCTGAGAAACTTAACAGAAGACCATGGGGGAAGGGAAGAGAAAAAAAAAAGTTAGAGAGGGAGGGAGCCAAACCATAAGAGACTCTTAAAAACTGAGAATAAACTGAGGGTTGATGGGGGGTGGAAGGGAGGAGAGGGTGGGTGATGGGCACTGAGGAGGGCACCTGTTGGGATGAGCACTGGGTGTTGTATGGAAACCAATTTGACAATAAATTTCATATTAAAAAAAAAAACAACAACAAAGGGGAAAAAAAAAAGAAATTTCCATGATGTAACTACTAGGCAGACTGAAAGAATGTTATACTTTTCTTTGTTCAAAGCTTTATTCAACACCACTGTTTACCATTTCAGATTACTTACCAAGGGCATTGTAATATAGGAATGTGAGTTGTTATGATACAATACACTTATATCTATCTGCATTTATAGCTATTTCATTCATGTGTATAAAATACATATATGTATATGAGTACATGTGCAACCTTAAAGATGTCAAATTATTACATACAAATGTATTTATTATAAGCATCTGTTATAACTGACTCCTTCATAATGTTCTCTATCATAGTTTTGCCTATGTTGTAACAAATAAAAATACTTTATTACAAATCACTTTCCTTTCATATCTCCCTTAAATTTGTGAGGAAAATATTTTTAAGAATTGTGTATACAGAGAAGTTATATTCCCTACAAATTTTATTTCAGGAAAGAAAAGGGGGTGCTACAGAATATTTATCATGGAAAGAGACTAGGAGGATACAGGGTTGAGAACCACAAACCTAGAAAGAAGTCACACTAGTCTTCTTTCCCCCATTATTAAGTCAAAAGTCACTGAGCACATTAAGTCTTTGTTCATTATAGGGAATAATTAAAATCATAGGCTTATGAAAAAAATAAAAATAAAAGCATGAGTTTATGGCTGTGTAGTACAGGTAAAGTTACTTTATTTCTGTGGACCATTGTTTCTTCATTTATAAAATAGGGATAATAATATACACTCATAGGGTTTTTACCAAAATTAAATGAATTATTATGTGTATAATATCTGCAAGAGTGCTTGGCATATAATTGTCAATATGTATTGGATATTATTTTTATTTGTTGTTAATATATGAGGCTTAGAATGTTCTCTCTGCTTTCTTACTAAAAAAAACCCACCAATCATATTAATGAGAATACTGATCATCAGAATGTGATCATCAGAATGTGAGAAATGCAGCGAAAGTTTCTTTTCCTAGAGAGGTAAGAACTTTAGGAAAACATACAATTGATGAAAGAGTGACATACATTTCTGATCAGTAGGGAAATCTGCATGGGACAGTGAAATGTCTAAGAAGTTTTAAGGGAACGGGGTGGGGGGCAACATCATCCTTTAATGCCATGTTTCATTTATTCTTCTTGATGTTCTTCCTTGATCTAGTTAGAGCTAATCATTCTTTTTATAATCCATTGTCCTTACCCATCATTTGTACAAGAACTGGGTTATATAATAGTTTGTCTGTATCTGTTCCTCCAGCTTGGCCATAAACTTCGACAGTAGATTATATTAAAGACTATTTTTGTCTCCCATAATGCCTGGGAAATTGTCAAACTATATGTACATTTATGATTCGGTCCAAGTTATGTTGCCATTTTAAATCAATGAGACTTTAAAAAAAAAAATTTTTTTTTTTAACGTTTATTTATTTTTGAGACAGAGAGAGACAGAGCATGAACGGGGGAGGGGCAGAGAGAGAGGGAGACACAGAATGTGAAGCAGGCTCCAGGCTCTGAGCCATCAGCCCAGAGCCCGACACGGGGCTCGAACTCATGGACCGCGAGATCCTGACCTGAGTTGAAGTCGGACGCTTAACTGACTGAGCCACCCAGGCGCCCCAAGTCAATGAGACTTTTAACTGGTCCTTTATTTTTCTACAAATGTCAAAAATCACTACACTTAAAAAAATTTTTTTTTTTGATGTTTATTTATTTTTGAGAGAGAGACACAGTACAAAAAGGGGAGGGGCAGAGAGGGAGACAGGGAATCTGAAACTGGCTCCAGGCTCTGGGCTGTCAGCACAGAGCCCTACGTGGGACCTGAACCCACGAATTGCAAGACAGTGACCTGAGTCGAAGTCAGATGCTCAACCGACGGAGCCACCCAGACGCCTGACATTACACTGTTTAAAGTGATTTCATCATGTCTAGAACTAATTTCTTAAAAATATAATAATTTATCTCCAGTTTTAATGAAAACCAGAGAGAAAATGAATCTACACAAGAAAAAATCACATTATATTAATGTTTATGAAAAACAACTATTTGAGTAAGTAAAAGAAACTTCAATAGCAGTCAGCTAATGTCTGATAAAGATCAACAAATATGATTATTAGGTAAATCTTCCCAATCTAGTTATTTATTTCACTGATTACTTCTTCATACTTATTTGGCATTAACTTTAAACACATTAAATGACTTTCTTAGTCTGACAAACTGATAGATAACATATCTGTGCATTCTTTTTATCATCATGGCTACTTTTAGTGTGTGTGTG